GGTACACTCTAAAAAATGCTGGGTTGTTTCAACCCAATGTTGGGTCAAATATGGACTAACCCAACTGGTGGGTTAAATTTTGGATACATTTTTAAATTAGCTTTTTAACCCAACAGTTGGGTTAGTCCATATTTGACCCAACATTGGGTTGAAACAACCCAGCATTTTTTAGAGTGTACAGGCACAAACCTCACTATCAAATACTGAATATTCTTACTAACAAAATGGCTTCTATTTTGTTTAGTTTTGAATGATTGAAGCCACACTTCCTGATAAAACTGAATTAGTGTAGGAAGAGTCTTATTCAACAAGAAGTATAGTTCTTTTAAGAAACGTATACACTGACTCACCAAATGGTTGTTACACAGATTTGCATTGGAAGTGAATGAAAAGAAGAGAACAGTGTGGATCTGATCATCTCCTCTGCTGCAGTATCAGACTCTGCTCTCTACTACTGTGCTTTGAGGCCCACAGTCACAGGAAACACTACAACACCATACAAGAACCTGACTGACTCTATAGTCTTAAAATGAGATGTCAAAAACCACAAACATTATAAATGTCACATTCTAATTCATATTTAACTATACATTTTCTGGCTGGTTAGTATTTCTATGTATTGATTTAGTAAAGTATCATTATTGAATGAGATCATTGCTGGAGTATCACTATATAACTATGTTCTTAGACGTTTCGTCATATTTGAAGACATATCAATAAATAAAGTCAACATTTATCATCCTTTATATTTTTCAGATTCACAAATGCATTATCCTGGTTAGACTCAGATGTTGTCAATGGGAGAATAAATGGGGGGTGCTGTGTACATTGAAATATTTCAGAGAGGACAAATTTAATGCTGCAAGCACAAACCTCACCATCAAATATTGAATATTTAAACTCTACCAAAAAGGCTCTACTTGGTTTAGCTTTAAATGATCCTCATAGTAACATAATAAACATAGTCACAGTCACACTTGCTGATAAAACTGAATTAGTAGAGAGAGATACTTATTGAACAAGAGGTAGAAGTTTTAAGATATTCATACACTGAAGGCACAATAATCTCAGTTTTTAACAAGGGAAAACAAAGAAGGAGGTCTAAATAAGCCGCACCCACACTGCAACTTCACAACAAGATACTACATTCACACAATGTATAAAGTATAAAGCCTAGAGCATGAAGTTAGTAAATCTAGGAGAGATGGAGAGATGCGTTCTTCTGATTCTAATATCCACTCCAGGTATAAAACATGTAATCTGAGCAGACTCAAATATAATGTACATTCAAATGTTTTGGCCATGCAAACATTTTTTATGTTACTCTATTACTATAACGACATCACATTTGTTGAAGAAACTGTTTTTATTATTGTAATTTTAATAAAAAAATGTTATGAAATTTTGGGCAAGCCAGCTGACCTGTTGTGAAATCTCTCCAAATCTCTTGCAGGTATTTTATCTGACAGCATTCAACCGAAAGACAAGGAAACTACTATTTACAGAACAGAAGAGGAGCGTGTAACGCTGAGCTGCACGTATGATACAGGCAGCAATTATGTCTATCTCTACTGGTACAGACAGTATCCTAACAGAGAACCAGAATATTTACTGTATAAAGGTGCCCGGACATGGAGCAGTCGTGGAAATATACCAGACACTCGGTTTCAGTCGATTACATCAGAAACATCTACTGAACTCACTATTAAGAGTGTAACTCTGTCAGATTCAGCTCTCTATTATTGTGCTCTAAGAGTAGCAGCCCAGTGATACAAAATGCCTGAGAAGCTTTACAAAAACTCACATGTAGTTTTTGCCTTTAAAAATATTATCAAATAAAAGTTAAGCCACAATCATATTTTGCATAAAACCACAACACTTCACAAACACAATACTGTAACACCTGCTGGAAGAAAAAAAATGTGTGCTTAGGTGGAAAGTATACAGGAAGATGATAATTCATTGTTTTTGTCATGCCATAATAAACCTTCCTACAAAATAAACTCGGAAAATATTGTTTTCAATGGGGGGATAAAACATTTTTTAATTCTGTCAGCAGTATGTCTAAACTGACTAAAAGTAAGAGACCAAAATATAGAACAACAAATGTTTCAATGTCTCTTTAATACATTCTGTCTGCAACAAACATCAGGCTATTAGTGGTACTACAGTAAAACTCCTGACCTGCATGTTAATATCTGTCATATCTAGGCTTCAAATGCTATTTTATCTATTATAGACTGCAACATAAAGGAGAGGAGTTAATCTGAGACGTCCTCCTTTACGTGCCAAAGAATTAATTATTCAAGACTCAAGCGTGTGACGGAAATGTTACACCCCTTACCATATGGTGATGCCCTGTCCGGCCGGAGCGTAACATAAAACCATGTCTGCATTTGTGATTGGAGAAATGCCAAACAACAAGTGTTACTCTACACTGCCCAAAAAAACTCGCGTTTGAATCGTCAGTGGCAAATTCTTTAAATATAAAAAATTTACTTACAGTCTGTGAGTCAGAACAGCCGGCATTGTAGTCTACTCTCCCAGGATCAGGAAACAGTCCTCCATAAAATACATCATCTGAATATTTGGGTTAAACTGTTCTGGAACAGTGTTGTAAATACAACTTAACCACTGATTTCTAGGCGTGTCCTCTTTTGGAAGGCCAAACAAAGTAGTTTCGCTTTCACAATGAAAAAGCATCACACACCGCGGCCTTGAGTCAGCGGAGGCTGGAGGCCTAGCATGAGCCGCACCCTAGAGTATTCGGAGACCGGCTTGAGTGAGCAGAGGTGAGCGGGCGGATTCGACGAAGGAGCGTCCGGCGGGCTTGCGGCAACCACATGTGACGACCCCGAGCTGGACTCCACTTCGTCCACGGTGAAAGCTGATCTGGCGATCCACAGCGCGAAGTTGATGTATTTCCTCAGCAACCAGCACGGATCAGCTCCAGGCATGACGAAGCGGATATCATCCTCTTCTGGAAGGCCAACCAAAGTAGTTTTGCTTTCACAATGAAACACAGCCCCTTCACGTCATGGCGGCAGCGGTAACAACAATACTACAGCGAGAATAAAATTTATGCCTTCTTTCTTTGCGTGAACATTTGGGTGGCGTTATGCAAATCTTCCCACATCGTGACGTAGCCATGTGGGGGAGTGTTAGAACGAGCCGTTTTAGGTAGGTGTGGCTGACTCTTAACTTTTATAAAGAATATCTCTTTGGATTTGAGACATTAGTCTTTGCAACTTTACAGATCTTCTTTATGCACCAAGAGCTTGTAACACTCCAAAGAGAAAGGAAAAATTAAAATTGCATCATATGACCCCTTTAATGTAGCAATATCTACAGTATAACTTAGTCAACAGTATGACTAAGTGTTTGGGATGTCCGTGTGCTTGTTGTTACCCATCTTGCTGAGAGAGAATGAGGTAATGACATTACAGGGTGTTTCCTAATGTCCTAAAGTCCAAATTGACTCTCATCAGCATTTTCTCAGCAGCTCTATCTAAGCCCTATCTTACTGCAGTTCTCAATCCCACAATCCCCTCTGTTCTCTGTAAGCTCTTCATTCTGGCAGCTTGCAAGGGCCATCAGCTTTGCCAGAGCAAACAGGCATGATCTGGGCTGGTAAAGCAGACGGGACGCTCGGGGCTTACAATATAAACATTCTTATCAGCCGTCTGAATGCTTTTGGGCCGGACGCTGCGTTAGGACTGTCATAATAATCAGAGCAGAGCCACTCGCCTGCCAGTATGTTTGTGTGTGTGTACTGGTATATGTGGTTTATGAGGACACAAATGTGTATAATGACATGGGTACTACAATGTAAACATGGTTTATGAGGAAACTTCCTGTGTCCCTGTAAAACAAAAGGCTTAAAAAACATAAAAAAGGTCATTTTTTTTCAAAAAGTTTTATGAAATTCAAAAATTGCCAGTAGTTTTCTGTAAGGGGTAGGTTCATTGTAGTCTACTCTCCCAGGATCAGGAAACAGTCCTCCATAAAATACATCATCTGAATATTTGGGTTAAACTGTTCTGGAACAGTGTTGTAAATACAACTTAACCACTGATTTCTAGGCGTGTCCTCTTTTGGAAGGCCAAACAAAGTAGTTTCGCTTTCACAATGAAAAAGCATCACACACCGCGGCCTTGAGTCAGCGGAGGCTGGAGGCCTAGCATGAGCCGCACCCTAGAGTATTCGGAGACCGGCTTGAGTGAGCAGAGGTGAGCGGGCGGATTCGACGAAGGAGCGTCCGGCGGGCTTGCGGCAACCACATGTGACGACCCCGAGCTGGACTCCACTTCGTCCACGGTGAAAGCTGATCTGGCGATCCACAGCGCGAAGTTGATGTATTTCCTCAGCAACCAGCACGGATCAGCTCCAGGCATGACGAAGCGGATATCATCCTCTTCTGGAAGGCCAACCAAAGTAGTTTTGCTTTCACAATGAAACACAGCCCCTTCACGTCATGGCGGCAGCGGTAACAACAATACTACAGCGAGAATAAAATTTATGCCTTCTTTCTTTGCGTGAACATTTGGGTGGCGTTATGCAAATCTTCCCACATCGTGACGTAGCCATGTGGGGGAGTGTTAGAACGAGCCGTTTTAGGTAGGTGTGGCTGACTCTTAACTTTTATAAAGAATATCTCTTTGGATTTGAGACATTAGTCTTTGCAACTTTACAGATCTTCTTTATGCACCAAGAGCTGGTAACACTCCAAAGAGAAAGGAAAAATTGAAATCGCATCATATGACCCCTTTAAGGGGAGGTGCTTGCAGGAGACATGCTCTGCTAGACAATGAATTAATCTGCTCTGTACTACTGTGCTCTGACGCCCACTGTGACAGGAAAACACTACACACCATACAAAAACCTGACTGACTCTTAAAATGAGAAGTTGCCAAAAACAACAGGATCCATACAAATGAATATGTCAGTTAGATTCTGATGTTTTAAATTCATATTTAATTATACATTTTCTGTCTGGTTAGTATTTCTGTACCTTTATGTACACGCATTGATTTAGTGAATATTCATACTTTAGTGAGTATTGAATGAGACAATTTAAATAAACACTGATGGCATATCAAATTTATATTTCTAAAGATGTCATCATTTTAAAAAAATATAGCAATAAATAGTCAAAATTTATAAGCCATCATATTTTTTAGATTCACAAATGTTTTATCCTAATTAGAATTTTGGATGTTGTCAGTGGGGAATACATTTTATACCACCACTGGGGGGTGCTGTGTACATTTCGGAGAGGATGCCCGACTGAAAGACAGTGGAGGCTTGTTACCAATGCAAGATAAAGCAAATGATAAATAACCAGTGGAGAAACATCACAGACGATTATGCTTAAACATCAGAAGAAGCAGAAATCATGATCACGATTAAAATACAGATCACTGTGTAGACTTACACAAGACTACAAATATAATGCTACAAGCACAAACTTCACTATCAAATACTGAATATTCTAACTCCAATAAATAGCCTCTATTTTGTTTACCTTTGAATGATTTTATAGTAATATATATATTCATAAAACTGATCAAACTGAATTAGTGGATGAAGATACTTCCTCAACTGTTACTCAACAAGTAATTTTGGTTTTAATAATTATTTTTAAGATATTAGTACAATGAAGGCACAATCATTTCAGCTTTTAATAAGGAAAGACACAGAAGGGGGTCTACATAAACCACACCCACACTGCAACATCACAACAAGATACTACAATCATACAATTACCTTTACTTCATTCCATAAAGCAAGTTAGTAAACCTTCCCAACATGGAGAGATGCTTTCTACTGATTCTAATATTCACACCAGGTATAAAACATGTAATCTGAGCAGACTCAGATGTAATGAACAAATGTTTTGGCCATGCAAACTTTTTGTAATGTTACTCTATTACAGTAACGACATAATTTTTGAAGAAACTGTTTTTATTATTGTCAGTTTAATTTTAAATGTGATGAATTTTCGGACAATCCAACTGACCTGTTATGAAATCTCTCCAATTCTTTTGCAGGTATTTTATCTGACAGCATTCAACCAAAAGACAAAGAAAGTACTATTTACAGAACAGAAGAAGAGCGTGTAACGCTGAGCTGTTCATATGATACCAGCAGCAGTTATGTCTATCTCTACTGGTACAGACAGTATCCAAACAGAGAACCAGAATATTTACTGTATAAAGGTGCCCGAACATGGAGCAGTTATGAGGATATACCAGATCGGTTTCAGTCGACTACATCCCAAACATCCACTGAACTCACTATTAAGAGTGTAACTCTGTCAGATTCAGCTCTCTATTATTGTGCTCTAAGAGTAGCAGCCCAGTGATACAAAATGCCTGAGAAGCTTTACAAAAACTAGTTTTTGCCTTAAAAAAAATTTATCAAATAAAAAATTAACCACAATCATATCTTGTGTAAAACCACAACATGCACTTCTTTCACAATACGATATTGTAACACCTGCTGGAAGAAAAGGAAATGTGTGCTTAGGGGGAAACTATACAGGAAGATGATAATTCATTGTTTTTGTCATGCTGTAATAAATCTTACTATTAAAGAACCTCTAAAAAACTAGTTTACCATGGAAAAAAAAACTTTTTTTAGGTCAGCACATACTGTAGGTCTACACTGACTAGAGACCAAAATACAGAACATCAAACGTTTCCATGACATGCTATTAGTGGAGTAGAACTCCTGACCTGTGTGTTCATATCTGTCTTATCTAGGCTTCAAATGCTATTTCATCTATTATAGTCTGCAGATATGAAGGGGAGGAGTAAATCTGAGACCACCTCCTGTACCTGACAAAGAATGAATGATTTGTTGAACAACAGTTTGTGCTGAATACAGCATTGTGCAAAATGATGCTCTGCTTGCAAGTTTTGCTTTATTGTCTTGTGTGTATGTATTCCTGATTGAATATACCGAATTATTGTTATAATAATTTTTTTTAACTAACAACTAAAGTGAGATGTTCCATTCAGAAGGAGCAAATATAACTCTGTCTTGTAACTATTCATCTGCATATACTCTACAGTGGTATCGCCAATATCCTGGGCATGCTCCTCAATATCTTTTAGTCATTCTATATTCTACAAAGTTTCACAAAGGTCAGAAATTGTGGATCAAGATCCTCAATTCTCTGGCAAACTGAATGACAAGAAAACCCATGTGGATCTGATAATCTCCTCTGCTGCTGTATCAGACTCTGCTCTGTAATACTGTGCCCTGCAGCCCCCAGTGACAGGAAACACAACATTGTACAAAAACTAAGATAGATCACACATTACATCACTGTCAAAACAGTATCAAACAATTGCATTTGCATTTGACAACTGGATTTGCAAGCCATAACATTCAGAAGCTTCTTTCATATCATAAGCTACACAAAGGTTTTAAATTAAATTTTTGCCAAAGTACATCAGTCCTGTGGACCAAATAGTTGTTTGTATTGGAAGTATTTAATGCAACTGTTTTCCCGACAAAAAGTGAGGAGGAGAATTGTCCTCACAGTCCTTGATAAGTATATTAAAGAGTCTCTTATGCACTCTTAAAAATAAAGGTGCTTCAAAAGGTTCTTCAAGCGATGCCATAGAAGAACCATTTTCGGTTCCACAAAGAACCATTCAGTCAAAGGTTCTTTAAAGAACCATCTCTTTCTTACCTTTTTATAATCTGAAGAACCTTCTTTCGCCCCAAAGAACCTTTTGTGAAACAGAAAGGTTCTTCAGATGTTAAAGGTTCTTTATGGAACCATTTAGACGAAAAGGTTCTTCTATGGCATTGTGAAGCACCTTTATTTTTAAGAGTGTGGAGTGCCATAAGCTTTAACTCAAGTTTTCTTGATCAGCTCTACAACAATTCTTCTGACCTATGTGTTCATGTTGACTCCACTTTATACTGTTGCTCATTCTATGTTTTCATTGCTGTTTCAATTACAGCTTTTAGGGGAGGAGTTTGCTTGACACATCTTTTGTGTGACAAGGAAAGAACAGAAAGTTTAGTTGAACAACAGCTTGTGCTGAGCTAGAACATCATCCTAATCATCATCAACATGTTGATCTGTTTAACTGGTTTGATTTGTTCTCTCATATGCAAGTATTCCATTTATTTATTATTTTGTTATATATTATTTGTTATTTATTATTTTCTATTATTTTGTCTAGTTGAGATTAATAAGTATGGAGTTTGTGTTAATTCACTTTTATGTACAATACATTTCCATAAATTTTGACTCTTGATTTTAAAGGTGGCAGTTTTGCAAATGTCATCACACCAGTCCAGACTGAGGTTTATAAGAAAGAGGGAGAAAATGTTACTCTGTCCTGTAGCTACTCCTCAGCGTCTACACTGCAGTGGTATCTCCAATATCCCGGATCAGCTCCTGAATTTCTTATGCTTATTCTACACTCTACCGGAAAGGTTTCACAAATGTCAGAAATTGTGGATCGAGATCCTCGATTCTCTGGGAAAGTGAATGAAGAGAAAACCCATGTGGATCTGGAGATCTCCTCTGCTAAACTGACAGATTCTGCTCTGTACTACTGTGCCCTGACGCCCACAGTGACAGGAAACACAACAACACTGTACAAAAACCCTCCCAACAGTGATACTGTAGTTGAATGTACCATACACTGCACATCTTCATAAAATTTTTTTAAAAATAAATAAATATAAATTTTAAAAAGTAAATAATTAAAAATATTTTAAATGCATATTTTTCAATCAGTCAATAAATAATTCATATATATTTTTTCTGAATCATAGACAAAAACTGAATCATATATCTAAAAAACTACTGAATGTTTTAGAAATAGTTTCATACAGTACCCTGACAAGAGGTATGGATTTCATGTACAAAAGTAAAGATGTATAACATTATGCTCAGCCTGAAGTACATTTCTTTTATGATATTAGATCGCCACCTGCTGGAGGTCTTAGAAACTGTTAACCCTTAAAAAATTGTCCTCTTTTTGGAACCTACAAGTCTCAGAGCAATGCAGATGTTGTGTGACAAGCAGTCAAGAGCAATTGTACTTCCTGTTTTTGTATCCACCCCCTGATATTTAAAGATCAACCTTTCAAGAAACTTAGCACATTAAGACTTATCTGATGTGATCATGGAAAGACTCCAAATGCTCAGTCAACAAATCGGAAAATATCTACTGCTGTTTTTCCTTATAGCATCAGGTACAAGCCACAAGTAATACACTAAAAACTAATACATTTGTATGATTATTCACATCTTTAAATATATATATATATACATATCTTAATAGTGAAACTGTATCTTACTAAAAACATTTCTTTCCAGGTGTAATCTGTCAAGATTGGATTCGACCAAGTGACCAGAGAACCAGTGTTTCCAGTACAGAAGGAGATTCTGTAACACTGGAGTGTTCATATGACACAAGCAGCAGCTTTGTTTCCCTTTATTGGTACAGACAGTTTTCTAACACACAGCCAGAATATATACTGCGTAAAGGTGGACGATCAGAGACATATGAGAACATACCAGACCCCCATCGATTTGGATCAACTACATCCCAGAAATCCACTTCACTGACCATTAAAAGTGTAACTCTGTCAGATTCAGCTCTCTATTACTGTGCTCTAAGAGTAGCAGCCCAGTGTTTCAAAGTGCCCGAGAGGCTTTACAAAAACTCACTCAGAAAACTTGCTTTGAACAGCGAGTTATCAAATGCATATCAAACCACATTTGTGTCTTCATAAACCACAGAGTCAAATTGAAGAATATGGTAACACCTGCAGCAAATAATTATACAGCTGCATGTAGCTGCAGTAAATAGTGTAATTTTAGTGATTAAATAATAAGCTTTATATATTATCAACACAGCTCTTTAGCATGGATTATTAACAGGACATTAATATTAAGTAACTTACATTTTAGACACAACTCAAATAGTTCCAAACAAAGCCACAAAAGAATCACTGCATCTCCCAGAAACACACAATTAGGGGTGTTTGTGTTTTTGAACGAATAATTCAGTAAAAAATGTAATTCATTAATAAATCAGAGCTTTTGAATGAATGAATCTAAAGAATGAATGATTCAATACGTACATGTTTCATACCTGAATGAATCAGCATTTTGAACTAATCAGTTGAATGAATCATTTACGGTAATAACTCACTCAGTCACTTGTCGCCACCTATTGGTTCTGTGTTTGGATAATATGCATTAATACTGCATTGTGATGAGGTACTTCATGATGGATGAGCCAATCAGACACTAACAGTAATGCTCTTTGCAATTATAAGGAGCTGATAGAACAATCAAAGGATTCACTGTGCAAAAAAGTTCTGGGTATAATTACAAATTGAAGATGATCACATCACTTCTCATCTGTCTCACATTTCTGACATTTCGCATTGCAGAAGTCAATTTCTGTGCACATATTGCACCAAAGACAAAAACCGTCATCGGTAAAAAGGGGGAATTTCATACTTGTATGAATCAAGCAGCTCTCATGTTTTGCTCTTCTGGCTGATCCCAAGACAGGCACCAGAGTTTTTATTGCTCAAGGGTGCACGATCAGAGACATGCTTTCAAAGCATAAGTCCTCGCTATGATTCCACAACTTCAAAGACATACACTTTTCTGATCATTAACGATCTAAAACTGGAGGACACAGCTTCCTACTACTGTGTGCTAGAAGAACACTGTGACCAAATGTATTTATTAGGCTGTGCAAAAACTCATGTTCAAAACGGTGGTCTTTCGAATCACAAAATACTCCCTTCCCTACAGTAAATAAGATTCTGAGTGGCAGGAGATGTGGTTACACCTTGTAAATGAAGAATACAAAGCAATATGTGATTGGCTGGCTACATTACTTCAAAAAAATTCCATACTGAGGAAAGAGGTGGAGCTTCCAGAGGAGACTTCAGTTTGTCACTTGTCATGTTATGTTATTTTGCTCTGCCTAGTCTCACTATGTTGCTGTACATAGTTATTTGGATGTTAACTCTTTCTGGTGGGTATTTTTTCCATATTACTGAAAATCAGTTTTTTATCTAATTATACTGTATACTTTAATATATTTCTCTTATTTTTAATTTTTAAGACGTAACTCATGCAGAAACCATTACCCCTGAACACACAGAAGTGCGTGTAAATGAGACTGAGAACATAACACTCTCCTGTAGTTATTCCTCGGCATATAGTCTCCTTTGGTATCGACAGCATCATACATCAGCTCCTCAGTTCCTCATGCTCATCCTACAAAGCTCTGGAAAAGTAATACAGACTTCAGA